CAAAAGGATAATAAAAGGGCGCTAGTAACTGTAAAACTGAGCAAACGGCTTTAGTCTTCGCTAGCTATGTCTCTGAATGATACAGTGAAAGCGTGGAAATTTTCGAAATCCAAGAATCATAAAATTACCGATAAAGACTCCTCCGACCATCTGCATGATCTGAAGAATTGTAACCATCATTGCTGCTACCTTTGGTAAACGTATACGCATGGCGCGCAGGGCATAATAAGTATACATGAATGCATGCACCGTATAATTCATCCATATAAACCACCGTCCCGAAGCCGTATGATCCTGAAAAGCAGTGAAAAATGCACCTATCCATGGAGGTAACTAAAGTGATGGATGAATGAGACGGGTTTTGTTCGCCAAACAGCTTTAAGAACAAACTTTTTATCAGACGCACAAACAACTTTTCCTGTAATTCCGGACAGCGCCAGAAAATTTTTTCGTATAATTTATTAATCACTGTGCGAGATTCTAGATACTGATTTCGAATTCGACCATTTCTGGTGGAATGCATCAATTGTAAACACCTGTAATGTGTGGCCGCTTACTTAGCGCATCAATGTTCGGAGACACAGTCAGGCTCACTGATGTGGGCATGCCCGTTCCGCAACCAATAAGCGGTGTGTAATTGAAGAAGATGCTATTCTGCCAGTATCCCTCTGCGCAGTTGCTTGTTACAGCTATGCGTCAAAGACCACTCATTCTTGTGGCCTACGATAGCTTCTGCATAAGGGGAAACGCGAAGAATTAAGCCCAAACACTAAAATCATCAAGTACGAAACAAAGTTCAGCAGGGAAAGGGTGCAAAAACTGACCAGTTGAGCAATTCTAAAAACGCTAAAAAAATACTATATTTAAGTAAATGCGACGTAAAAACAGGAAAATGCGTCGTTCTGGGAAAAAGAAGCAATTAAACTGCCAGTTTCTTTTATTTTCTCGAATGCTTGGCAGGGCACAGATGCACAAATAAGTCAAAACGAGAATGGTAACAGGTGATAAGCTAACTTTGTAAGCATGCCAAGTATAAATGAGGACAGTGACATGATGATACCAATGAAGAAAAAGAAGAGGGCGCTTGCGCAGCACAATAAATGCTGTATCACCGAATTCCACGACCTGAAGGCATTTCAGCGAATTATAGAAACATCAGCAACTTGCGCTTCATTTTTCCCGTGTCCCCCACACAATAAATGAGTTGAAAACGAAGCCCG